GAAATGGTTGTTTTTGGTTGTTTTTATACCTTGAAAAAGGGTTTTCGGATTGATGACCTAAGGCGAAAAGATGTTTGATGAGTTGATGTCATTCTTAGGTTTTTTAAGAGAAATTGTTCTTGATTAGGATTACACAAAAGACTTTGGATAAAGATTAATGTTTCGAATAACCAACTCGAGCGCCTTGTATTCAAAACATCCGGAACGAGTGTAGGAGGGCTCCATTCTCATTCCTTCTCCACCACCTTAAATTCCATGGTGTATAACCCTAATCACATATTTATTGTATTTTGGATTTTTATGAGAAAAAGTACCTCTTAATGTTGGATCAAGGGATTTATTGTTGGTAAAAACATTTGAAGTGACACGAACAAGGTTGATGGCGATGCACAAGGCAATCGACTTACAAGGTTGAAAATGACTCGATAAAATTGAGAGTTTATTTTTGTTGCGGTGATTTGAAATTTAAATGAAATTAAATAAACTTAAATAAATTAGATGCTAAAAATAAAGAAGTGTCTCACCCAAGGCTTGAACCCAAGACCTTGGGGTCATGGACACAAAACAAGACAAAAGCAACCACACTCACGCATGTGAAAATTGATGGAAATGGAAGTTAAAATATTGAAAACCAAGAAAAACTTTAAAATGATTAAAAATGACCTCGTTGAGGGTCAAACACAGGATCACATGGCATGGCAAGTTCTTAAGGCAAGGCAAGTAACCACTGGGGTGGCGATACATCCATTGTATCAAGCCACCCCATTAAATCTTATACCTAACAAGGCAAGATTTCGAGGCAAACTCCAAGGCAAATGTAAGTGGAAATGTCAAAAATAATTTTAACATAACTTTCTCAAATCTTGATCAATTTTGATAAAATAAAAGTCTAACTTACTTGTTTTTTCAAGAGGAATAAGATGGTACCATTTATTTTTTGAGAAAGTGAACAAAATTTAAAACATGATGGCTTATGCATAATGGAGCTTTAAAATGCATTTTGAGTTCCATGGATTGAAACAGGTTGGTGTAAAAACAAATAAAGGTCTTCATATGTTTGAAATGTGATATTGAGTGAGTTCTAACAGGACATTTTGTTCAAAGCTCATCAGAGAAAAATGTGAGTGGTTGGTGAATTTGATGTTATGAGCAACTTTGCAAATCAACAATATTAATGATTTCATGACAGTAGACAATTTATTAAATCCAAAACCACAAGTTGAAGCATTCTGCACACTAATTGCAAGGGTCTCAATAGCAAAGAACTTGAAGGCATCTATTTAATTCCAAAACAGCAAGCAGATCAAGATATGGTGCTTTATGACATCAAAGGTTTAAACTGATCCAACATTGGTGGTACTTTAATTCCATCCAACGTGGTTTTTTCAAACAAAGCAAAACTTATTGTCTGTCAAAGTGAGTTAACCAACTCAACTCAATGATAAATCCTGATAGAGACAAAACAGTAAATCTCATGGCCACAAACACATGCAAACCAAACTCAAATGAACCTATGCAGCCACCAAGACCTGACCTCTACAAGCACAACTAAGATCTCATAAGGAAAAGAAGCTAACAGACCTTAAGATTCAAACAGACATTGCTCATTGAAATGGAAACCAAATTTATCATAAGTAAACACAAACTCTAGCACACTGTGATATCAACTCACACATGGTATAGACTGAGCAAGTTCACAACAAATCAGTCATGCTATCATGATAATGTTCAACTTAAATAGCTACTTCAATGACAATTTTCAATCTTCTCAAACAAAACAGAATTTGACAATCATGCACACAAATAAAAGAGTTTGATCATTTCATGCTTTTGACAACATTGAACAGAATCAAAACATTTCTACACAACTTGCTACCAACCTCTACATCTAAATGAATTGCTCCAAATGAGATGCTAGAAACTCATGAATCCCAACTGTTGAAGAACAAATCTGGCTTGAGTTTCAACAATCAAACAGTGACAGTACTAACTCACATAGGCAAAGAAAACCTATTGTACTAATGTCTAGCAATGCCTAGAACAATCTAGTATACCTAGAACAACTCTTACCAATGCCTAACAAACTTGAGTTTCAACAATCTAGTCTACCTAGAACAACTCTTACCAATTCCTAACAAACTTGAGACACACAACAGTCTTATCAAATGCAGAGGGCTGACTGTACTAAACAGCCAAAATCTCCATCTCATGACAGCAACAGCTTTGGTCCTCATAATGTCAAGCTCATATACTAATTCAAGAATGCTTTAGATGAAAGCTACCAAATTAACTTAACTAGAAACCAAAAGTTGAAGCCTTCTATACACACATTGCATAAATGGAATTTGAAGGTATCAAAGTTAACCAATTGAAGCAACAAACCAATAATCTTGCCTTAATGCCTATCAATGTGATTTGACAAACTCAGATCTTAAAGAAAAACAGTGGCAACATGGTTATAACTTAAACAGAGCCCAAAAAATCCAAACTAGACCAAACACAGCGTGAAGTTACAACTTCACTTAAAACAACAAGGAAACTAAGTTAAACCTAGGCAGCACCACAGACTGTCGTTACAATGCCACAACACAATGAGCCATACATTCTACACATCTTAATCATGAGTTGACAGGTCTAACACAACCTCTAACAGCAGCTCTTGAACAAAGAACCTCAATGAAAGTTCAAAGTGCATGTTCTACCTATGCTAGATAGATCCAAGTGGGAGCAAGGTTAAGTCTCTAATGAGAAAGATCAGGCATGGCAATGTCTAACAGTAAGCCACTAATACCTAGAACTCTTATGTTGCCAATTGTTTTCCTTTCAAAACAGTTTGTGTGATCAATCCAACATAACAATGTTTAAGGCATAGATTCATCATGTGTTCAACCTCATACTTTCATGAAAGTAATAAACACAAACACCACCCTAATGGCATCTTAACAGCAATCACACATGGCATTCACACATATTTGACAACATAGTTAACAAACTATTTCAACATGGTAATGCACAAGCTAAACTAAAAAAAAATCAACACATGATGATGTATACTAGTGAATGAGTTCAAAATAAACATACATCTTGTAGTCTAGCTGCAAAACTCCAAAACTCCTTCCCTTTGAATAAGCTTGTGAATGTTGCTTCCTCTTGAAAAAAACAAAGAATCTTGAGGACAAATCTCACAGATAGAATTCCAGTGATTGTTTGAGATTATAGACAGTTAGTATGACTATAATGGAAGGTGTTCAAAGTGTCACAATGATGGAAATGGTTTGTGTAGGGATTTGGCTTGAAATGTGCACAAAAGTCAAACTCAAGTGTGTGAGAAGTTGACTTTTAGATTTATGGTATTTTTTATAGAAACAAAGGTCGAGACACCTTATAATGATGATTTTAAGATTCTGTGGATGGTTTTTATGGTGGTTTCATGGCTACAAATGATGCTGGTGTGAAAAATGTAAAGAGGCAATTTTTTGGTGTTTTTGTGACTTTCTTCACTTTTAAGCAAGGAGAGTAAGAATGAGAGCTATGTGTTTTTGGTTTTTTTGGATAGTTCTGGTGTTTAAAGAAGTGGGAGGAAGCCTCTATTTATAGGCTATGAGAGGTGTTGGGGCATATTTGGATTTTCGCTTTTGGAGGGAGATTTTGGAAGAAAATTTGTCCAAGATTTGGTACAGCTGCACAATCAACTCCTTGGCTCAATGTGATGCATAAATCAAGTGGCATAAGGGCCATGGAGGTGACTGAAGTGAGGCTAGAGTGTAGGGAGGCTGCAGCTGCATATTTCCATTGAAAAGTTTCTCTTTCCTCTTTGACTTTTGAATAAAATAATGGCAACTTGCTTTGCCAATCTTGTCAAGCCTTTCAAGGCATCACCTCTTCTGCATTTCTAATCATGATTCTCTCTAATTATCAGATCAAATGGTTGAGAATGATTCAAGTGGCTGAAAAGTGGATTTGTGACAAAGTTGGAATAATGCATTCAAGTGTTGGGACCCCATCTTTCTGGATTTGAAACTCTCAGCTCATAAGGGCTATGGAGGAGTTCTAGTATTTTTTGGAAAGCCCTCATGGAGCTGTACAACTTTCATGTTCACTGAATTTTCGAAATCCAAGTGGAACTAGGTCAAATATCCCTTCAAAGTTGGTCAACGAAACAATCGATCGATAAGTATCAGATCGACTGTTGATGTTCTGGGTCTTCTAAGGTCTTGAAACTTCTTGAGTGAACTTCACTAATCCACATGAGCTTCATAGACCATGATTCCATCATCGGAACGCCTTTTAAATCAAAAGTCAAACTACAATTGACTTTTCCTGATCAGAAACCCTAATCGGGGATCCTGAACTGCACTGTTCTTGATCTTTGGGAGACCACCTCAAATTGGATTCATAATTGGCCCAATGGAGTATCTTTGATGATGTACCTTTTCTTCCATGTAGTCCAATGATAGGAAAATTATCTTATTTGGAATGGAAAATAAAGAACCGACCCAATCCTTACCTTGTGAACCCACATGCTCGATATGCAATAGAACGATGTATGATATGACGAATGTAGGGTATAAAAGGCTAAAGGTGAAAATGAGGGTGTGACAGGTGGATTTGCGTTAAGACTGACAAGGATGTGTAGGAAATGATATTTGGACCGAATGAAATCAGTTTGATTGTTGTAATCAGTTAAAAATGTTTCACTTTTTATTTAGTTATCTGTTGTATATGTTGGTTGTTGTTAACATTGTTGTAACAAAAACTCAATAATATATGAAAGTATAAGGTTACAATAATTGAAAGGAGAAACTAAATTATGATGCAGAGGTTGCTCCAACATTCAGATACTTTTTCCGATTATGTTTGAGATGACGACATATACTGCATAATTTTATCATTTTGTCAGTCGTATCTATTTCTGTTCTTATACGCGTGTTGTTTGGCCGTCCTTTTTTATTTCTTTGCATCTAATCATTGTGCCAAACTATTTACCCTTGGTATGGAGGTCAATATTCCTCCATTGGTAGCACTGCGAAGTCTTCGTTGCAGACATTCATAATAGTAATGGCCTTGTAAATATCAGATAGAATGCTATAAGCATCTTGACGAGCATGTGCACATGCCAGAATGACATGTGAGCAATGTACACGGAAGGCCTGGTACTTGCCACAGTCACACCAACATCTGTTTAGTTTGACAACATAGGATAAATTTGGCATCCCCTCGTTATGGTCCATTGTTTCTTGTACACTAAAAGTTTTCCTATGACGGTCAAATACTATTACTACATTTGTCATGGCTTTGATAGTTTCTTCTTTCATCACTTTCATTATGCTTTCACCTAATAATAGACCCGACAATAACACTGCACTCTATCTTTCGCCTCTTGTTGCAAAAAGTGATGTCAACCTATAATAGATTGATCTCACCAAAGCGGTGATTGAAAGATTTTTAATTCCTAAAATCATGGTTGGGTTAGAGCATACCCTGCATTCACAACTTTTTTGCGCAGGTTCTTGTCTTTGATTTGACTGATGATGTTTTGTGCGATATGTCTAATGCAATATACATGGGTAGAAGGAGGATGTCATACCCCAAATTTTAACCCTAATATTCCATCATTATCCTAGGAACATAAATCATGTGTTATCTAACCTTAATTGTTTTCAAGTTGATCTATGACAAGATGCAGATGAATTAGGCTTTTACACTATCAAAATCAAGGATCCTATGGACTGATCAGTTAAGGTTTTGGATGGATCTTCTCCAAATCAAGTCTTCATGTCATCAATAGACTCACATATTTCCAAGAACAAGTGTTATTGGAGGTTGTTACCAAAAGAATGGAAACAGTGCAGTGCAGCACCCTGATTAGAGTTTCTAGTGGAAATCTGCACCCTGACTTTTGGCTTAGATGGGTTTTTAAAGCTTTAATCATGATCCTTGAAACTCCTATAAATTATTAAATTCTCCCCAAGAAGTTTGAAAGCCTCAAAGAACCCAAAACACAGATCGATCTTGAGGATTTCAGTCCTTCGGTTTGTCTGTCTAGAAAGTCAACTCTTTGACTTTTAGGGTTTTGACCCCAAACTGAAGCAAACAAGTCTTACAAAACCACTTTGAGCCTATCTAGTGAGTTTGGTGAAGATTTAATCAATGATTGATGAATAACTTGCAAGTCAAGAAACTTTGGTTCATGAAAAACCCTAATTTTAAGCTAACTTAAATGGATCAGAACTTCCTAATCACACATCCAAATGGAATGGTTAAAAGCTTGATGGAAAGCTCTTGTGGAGTCCTAAAAAAGTGTCCTATAGAGTTGAGGCCAAAAAATTCATATATTTGGAGTTATGTGCTCATCAAGTTGTGAAGGATTTCAAAATTTAGAAAATTTTCATGTTTCTTGGCTTGTAAGTCAACTTTTACAATAAACTTCAAGAGGATTTTTGACAAAGTTCCCTTTGGAATTTGAACTTGTGTAAAACATGAATGTTTTAGATCATGTTTGGGTTTTTCTAGAAATTACAAGATCATTTTCTCAACCTTTATGGTTAGGGAGAATCGGAGAAGGCAAGTTGGGCATTTTTCATGTCACAAAACCAAGTTCAACACTTGCATTTTCTTGCATAAACAATTAAAACATGTTCTAATCCTGTGCTTAACTTATTATTTGATTATTATGGACTTAATTGAGGATAATATAATGCATAGCCACAAGCAAAACTCAGATTTTGGATTAAATGAATTGTTTAATCATGCAAGTGGATGCAAGTGGCATGAGAGAAACGTTTTTGCAGTTTCTGTCACAAATCAGCAACCACATCAGCTTCTCCCTTCCTTTCATTTCAAAACCACTATTTTGAGGATATATGTGATGATCAAACTCATAGAGAGGTGGCTAAAACTCATAAGAAAGATCTCAAGTTGATCTTGTACATTTTGCCTCCAAAAAGGGCAAAGTTGACAAGATGATCCAATATGCCCATACCACTTGATTTCCAAGCTTGCCTATAAATAGATCATTCTCCTCACATATAAACTACACCATGTTGAGCTAGAAACCAAGAAAAATATCTTCCATTCAACATATCACAACCTTCTTGCAAGCATTGGAGGTAACTTTCTTGTGAAGCAAAAATATATTTTGCACAAACTCTTTCAAAAACTCATACAAACATCAAACACCTCTACAAACACTTCAAACACATCACATATAATGTATTTAAGGTGTTAAAACAATCACTCCCGCCATACAACTTCTCACTCAAAAGTCAACTGCTAATCCACAAAAGTTTGACTTGTATGCATTTTCAAAGCCAAAACACTATCCAGACCATCTCCAATCATCCTAACACTTCTGAAACCTCCTATATAACATCCCTAAGATGTTCAAAACTTGTTTGTTCAAATATAACTTCATTTGGTTGAATTTCCATTTTGGCATTTCCTCACTTTTGCAAGAAGAGAAGCATAACCTGTTCCAGTTGATTCCTTTGGGCTCCAAGCATTCCGAAGCTTCAAAGAGCTTCAAGGAAGCCATCCAAATCATTGAAACATCTTTGTAGCAGCATGTTAGGATTTTAAAGTTTTGTGTTCAAGGGGTAAGTGCTAAAACTAAAACTCATTGAATCATGTCATATCTTGATGTACCTTGAATATAAAACTTGTCTGTCACAATATTGTGGATGTGTACACTCATTTATTTGCTGCTTATCATGTTTGAATAAGTCTATATTGTTGGAATCACAAATTTTGTGTCATTTTTATGTTATTATCGGGTTTTGAATTAGAGTAACTTTTAGCAAAGACTAATGGCTTCACCACGACCCTTATAAAATTCTGAGTGATTTTGGTATTTGAATCATTGCATTTCATGGAGAATTTATTAAGATATAGTAGTTCTTACATCTGGTCCAATTTGAGGTTTGTGACCAACCATGGATCGTATTTTCTAGGCCTTAGGTCATTTGTAGCCTTACTTATTTACGAATGAGGGTGATATAATGGATGTATCACCACCCAGTCGTTTACCATGCGCTTTCAATACTCTCCTTGCTTTACCAGTCCTAGGTTTGATCCTACGGATCAACCTTTTTGCTTCATTTTTGTGATATTTTTTGATGTTTTACTATGTATTGTGTTTGGGTTCAAACCCCATAGGATGCATTTCTTATGTTTTTACCATTAATCTTCATCATTTTTTTTTGTAAATTGATTTGTGCATAACTTCTTTGATTTTTATCATTTTGATACCACTCTTTTTGAAAAATGCTCCTTGATATGTCAAGTTTCAATGTGTGAAGAAATAATTCAAAATTTTTTATTTTTGAAACACTTTGATTCACTTGAAATACATGATCTTTTAGGGTTTATTTTACTTATTTTCATGAGTTTCTTTGGCTTAGTACTTGATTTCTCTTGTATGAATCACTTTTGGATGTTTAACATGCTTATATGTTTTAAAAGAATTTGTATTTTGCTTTACCATACTTTCTATTTCCTTTGTAAATATATGAACATGAAAATCATGTCCTGAAACTTTTGTTGATTTATGACATGCTTCTTGATGTTATAACATCTTGATCATGTTCCCTTAACCTCATTTTAATTGTTTATGTGTATTTTTAGAACCATAAAATGTTTATGTTTAATTCTTACTATGGTTGTTACCATGATCCTTGTTCATCTTTCCCCTTGAGAAGTTTGAATCCATGCTTGAACTGTTATCACTCTTCTTGATTATCCATGATTGATTGTCATCAACGTGTCTTAAAAATGATTGAATGTTGTTACATTTATATTTACTTAATTCATATGCCAAGTTTTAACTTGTATGAATGAATTTTGTTTGCCCATCATTAATGAACTTGTTATTGTCACACATGTTTGATGTTTCCTTTGGTTGTTTGTTATCCTCATGATCTTGGAACCTTGCCATGATAAGTAATGTCTTGACTTATACCTGATGCCTAAAATGATAGATCTTATAAGAACCTTTATCAACATCCCCTTTTAGATGTTAAAACATCTTTGTGTACCTTTGGTTGTAACCATTTGGTTTGATCCTTTCATTATTAAATACTTGGTTGTAACTTATTTCTTTGCTTGATGTTGTTACATGATTGCCCTAATCTTTCTTGGTTATTACCAAGACTATTATATCTTCATCGTGTTTGAATTAATACTTATGTATGCTTTAACTTTGTTAAGTTTCCACATGTGATGGAACTTGTTAGTTCTCATCCAGTTGCCTTGTTATTCCCATATTCCAAAGGAAAGTCTCTCTATTGACTTCACTGTCATATATAGCTCATTACACCTCCCCTTGACTTTGTTAAGTCATTAGGTACCTTAACTTAGTTAAGTTATAACCTATATACAATAGAGTTTTCTTTAATTATAAATACCTACCCCTGGTAGGAGTATCCTTCATTTAGAACTTTAAGATAGAGTTTGCCAACTCCATTTAAGAATCATTGTCATGATCACTTACTCCCCTCTTGGCTTTTGTCAAACTCAATCCCTTCGAGTGTCCAACTTAGATATAGATAGTATTTTTAAACTCTACACAAACATTGTTATGTTTGTTCCCCTTGAAGTCTTGACCATAGTCAAGTATTCCTCAATAGTCAAGTATTCTTTTGGATAAATCAAAGATCGGTAGTGAATTTCATTGAATCAAGATTCAAGTTAATCAATAGCTTGACATATGATTCCTACCGCAACAGAAATGGCGATTTCACTGGGGAAATGTAAATCTTTTCTTAAGGGTTTAGCTCACTTTGTGTGTTTATATGCTATATCTCTATATGCCAATACCTGTATATTTGTGAATATATAAATATTTTGTTTTCATTAGATCTTTGGGTAACATCTTGAGTGACGAGATAAGTCCTAACCCAGACTTGAGTGCACATACGATAGGATGTGGTATGATCAATATCTGACTGTTGGGAGTAGTCTTAACATGTTTTACATATTATGTAACCATGCCCAGTTGAGACCTCCTTGAGATAATTGATGCTGTATGAGTAGTCATGTATTTCATTGGTTGTTCCAACCTGAGAGTCCGTGAAACTGAGGACCTTTAGTTACCCACTTACCTCACTTAGCCTTTTTAGGACGTAGTGCGGAGACTATGAGCGAGTAGTCTCGAAATAGTTTTTACGCGATACTACACTAGACAAGTCTATCCAAAGAATATTTCTGACCCACGTGAGTAGTCATGTTGGTTGATAATTTTCGAGAGATTTATCTATGACTCTTAGAACTCTTGATAGAACCCGTCCTACAGGTATGATGAAAACAGTAGTACATGTCCTTTGGGAGG